GTGTAATTGAAAGAAACCAATTCCACCAAATGTATTCACAGTGGGGAACCTGTGAGTGGTCTTTCCATCTTGCTACAACTTTGTTTTCCTTATTTCCAGACAATATAGAGATGGTTTAGTTTGTCTAGTGACCAAAAAATTGATACACTGGAAAAGTTCTTACACTTAAAGCGTGAGTAATTAAAAAATTAATGTTTACAGCTGGTTCAAAAGCTTTGTTATTCTTCAAACCCTTATCCTCCCCTCCCTTTCTATCAGTGCACTGTTGTCATTGCAATTTGAAATAGAGCCACAGCAGACTGAAGGGGAGGTTTTTGTGTTTTTATTTGTTTCGTGGGTTACTATATCAGTTTTTCATGTGACTAACCTGAGATATTTCTGATCTGATTTGTTTTCCGTTGATATTTTTTAGAATAATCAACTTTGCTAAGATTTCCATAACGTGTAGCCAATACTTGGAATGTTAAATGCATTATAATGTAATTGTAGTGCTGTTTTTGGGATCATGCTTTGGAATGAAAAGGTCTTTTATAGCGAGGTCTCTTTGGTCCTTCAATATCCCCAGGATAAAACTTCCTTATATCAAACTCTACTCTGTGTGAAACAGTGACATAAAGTTCTAATGAATAAGAAACACTTAGCGAGTTCTAGTCTATCATACTTAGAATTCTAGAGCATAAGACATGTTTCCTGCCATTAAGGAGATTACTGTCTATATGGAAAAATACAACAGATGTGAAAAGTTAAGTTACTTTCAAGACAGTATGAAAAGTGCTCAATGAGTAGTAGTGACAACATTTATCTAGGAGAGATGAGAGAGGTCACTACTAACTGGGATAATTAAAGAAAGCATCACAATGTCAGATGCATTTCTTTGACCTTAAAGGAAGAGAGAAAGAAGTTTAGCTTAGCAGGTAAGAACATAAGCAAAAGTGTATAGATAGGATAATAAAAGATGTATTTGGGGAGCAATGAGTAGATCAGTATGACTGGAACAGTATGACTGGACTAGAATGGTAGGTTGGGTCCAGATTTTAAAGAATACTTTGAATATTAGTCCTCATGGGGCCAGTCACTATATACTTCTTCTCAAAGAACGGATGCACCATGAATTTTGGGGAAGCATGCCGTGAAATCATTAGTCCCTGTCCAAAAGAAGTTTGCTGTCCATTCTTCCTGGCTTGGCATTGGGCAGGTCACAGTAGCAGCTCTTATCTGCAGAGGTGCAAAGCTGACTTTTCCAGTGTGAGACCTAGGGAAGTAAAGAAGGGAGAAGAAGAGGAAAAGACAAAGAAGTGGGGAATCTCAGGGCTCAGCTAGTGGGTCTAGAGGCCTAACTGGGATCCTTTGTTGACTGTTTAGTTGTTCAGTGTGCTGCAGTCCTTACTGTAAAGAATACTCTACTTTGAGCAAAAAAGGGTTGAGAACTCCTCTTCTAGAGGAATAAGGCCGGGTTCTTTTTAAAAGTATTCCTTACTTTTCCCAATGTCTGACCTCCATCTCGAGTGACATTTAACTCCAATCCCCATCTGTCCTGGAGTGAATCCAGACTCCCCTCTAGACCTTTAGGCCCATTTCTCCCTTTCAGATGGTGATGGGGTGCTCCAATGGGGCAGACACCTAGATGAATCTCAATCACTAATAGACCTTTCCTTCTGCCCTGTAGCTGTACCCTTTAGACTTCTAGACCTTTTGATTTTGCGTTGTAGCTGAATTCTTCATGTCGGTTGCCCCATTTAGGGGGTGATCTCCTTGACAGCAAGTATTATCTTTTTCTGTTTGTGTCACCTGTGTGTGGGACAAAAGACTCCCACCCAAATTTGAATCAGAGTCTTGACAAGAATTGCAAAATGGAAAGTTGCTTTATTGGCTTTCTTGAAAAAGGACACCCCTGTGTTGCCCAAAATGGCGTCAGCCAGAGAGTTCAAGAGTGCTTTGTTTAAAATAAGTTTATATAGACCCTAGTGCAGTAGCCCACCCTAACCCCCTCCCTTTGGCCCACTGGCTGAACCTCAGGGACACAATCTATTTGCGTAAATCTTCCCCAGCAACGAAGAGAACAAAGGAGTACAGTAACCGCAACAGGTTCCCCTTTTGGGGCCTTATGACTTCAGTCTACTACCCAAGGTCATGTAGCTAGAGGATGAGATAAACGGAATACATTATAGTTCAGGAATTTCTGCTTACACAACTAAAGAGAAAAACAAAGAAAAAAGGGGGGGGATCATGTCCTGAGGGGTCTTCACTGATACTGGTACCTACGTACCACTCACCTGTGCTTATCGCAGTGCTTGGTACAAAATGAAAATTTAATAATAATAATGAAAGTTTCACTCATTCATTTTGGTAATCAAAACACCTTATAATGACTTTATATATTATCTCTTCCCTCTTCCCCAGTGCAGTATGGAATGTTCATAACCATAAAAATAGTACACTTTTGAGAGCAACTTTTAGAACATTCTTTTTGAAAATTTAAGACATTCTAAGTTATCATCAACACTGATATAAAACGTAGATGTATCCATCTTTTGTGATTAAAAAATGTGCTGCTACCTGAGCTACTGACTTTGGTGAGAAAATTTAAAATCTAAAATAATTAAGTATACCATTAGTGAGTTGGAGATCCTCTTGTTGGAAATAACCTCTGGTGCCTGAATAAGCCCGGTAAGTTAGACAGACTCAGGATGAGTGAAACAGTGAAACCTTTAATATGCTTCCTGCGGGAAGCAGGTGTGGAACTCCAGATGAGCACACACACCCTACAGAAGGGAGAACAAACCTTAATATCCCTGTTCCCCACAGCAAGTCCCTCCTACCTGACTTTCATAGGTAGAAGTCAGCACAGGTCACAGACTTTGGCAAAGGCCCACCACATGTTCCCCTAGGTAAGTTTCAAGCATGAGCACTCTAAGTAAAGCTTAACCTTTGTCCTCCTTCCAGCCTCTTTAATCAAACAACCAGTTTCAGCTGGTTTCTGACCCAAAGCTACTTTCCTTTCAATTTCCTTATATGGAAATATAATCATTTCGTACTTTTCACACTCTTAAAACTACCATTGACCCATCTCACATTTCTATATTGAGAAAATTCTAAGCTGATATTTGATGAGGCTATTAATACCTGTGATGAATTTTTAGAAGGATCTTAATACTGCTATTTTCTAGAAATAGGCATTTTTGCCCCAGTTTAATGCATTCCTTACTGCCTTCTTAGTTTCTTTGAGAGAATTTTTTGACCTTAGTATATCTAAGATGAATATACTTCAGTTTTGGGCTGTTTTTGTTGTTGTTTGTCATTTCAGTGATGTCTGACTCTTTGTGACCTCATTTGGGGTTTTCTTGGCGAAGATACTGGAGTGATTTGCCATTTCCTTCTCCAGCTCATTTTACAAATGAGAAACTGAGGCAAACAGGGTTAAGTAACTTGCCTAGGGCCATGCAGCTAATAAGTGTCTGAGGCGGAATTTGAACTCAGGTCTTCTTGACTCCAGGCCCAATACTGTATCCATTAGGCCATCTAACTGCCTCCAAGAAGACTTAAAAGCAGTATTTAAATTTTTTTAAATTGCATTATAGTTTGCAAAGAATATATTTACTATTTCTGCATTTTTAGATTTGTTTACAATATTTCTGTGCCCTAACATATGGCCAATTTTTGTAAAAGTTTGATGTGTTAGTAAGAAATATGTATTTTTTAGTAGTCCCATTAGTAGATAATAATTTTTTTAAACTCTGGTTTCTCCATCAATTTATTCACTTTTGTATCTTTGCTTATCTTTCTGTTAGACTTATCTAGAACTGAGAGAGACATTTAACTCTCCTGTCACTATTGTGTTATAGTACTATCTTTTTGTACTTCATTTAATGTTCTTTTTATGAATTCAGAGGCTAATGTTTAGAGCATGTAATTTTAATATTGATAATTTTTTAAATTTTGTTTGTGGGTCCTTTCAGCACAATATAAGTACCTTTTTTATTTCTTGTTTCAAATGTTTGTTTTTGCTGCTTCTGCTTTTTTTCAGTCACTTGATGCATAGCAGATTTTTTTTCTGGATCCTCATGATTTTGTGTGTCTTTATTTTTAAACAGATTGTAGGGTTTTTCTTTCTTATCCAATCTGTTATTCTCTTTTGTTTTAATAGATTGTTTAATATATTCATATTTAAAATCATGATAGTTAGGTTTATATTTTCCTCCATTTGTCTTTATGATGATTTTTTTTTTCAAGTTAGGATTTTCCCCCCTCTTCCTCTGTAAAGAAAGTGCTGTGTTTTTTATTTTAGCTCAGTCTATTTTAAGGTGATCCTTTTCACACCGACTGTCTTCTGTTTACCCTGAAACTCTCATATCCCCTTGTTGCCCTTTTCCCTGATTTTGCAGTTTTGCTTATTAGTTCATTTTTGCTTTTTTGCTTTTATCTATTAAATTATTCCTGTCTTCCCCCTCAGCTAAATAGTCAAATAATATCCTTCTTTCTCTCTTTCCCTTCAACTTTTGTTTTTAAGTTTTAAAAATTTCATTTTCTGCACTATTTTTCTAAAAAATTAAAGGATTTGCTTTATTATATCTTCACTATTTACCTTCCCTTTCTATCTATTCTAAAATTTTATTCTTTTGATTCAGGGCCAATATACTTACTTATTCTTTCTTTAGCATCTGTATTCCTCTTGGCATTAAAGCTTTTAAGGTACCTATTTTGGATTCCTTCTTCTGAACAGTTGCTACATTATTGCCTTGTAGATCTTACCCCTTGACCCCCTTTTTCCTTTTGTACCTCACTCGTAGAAATATTAATTCCTATAGATGATAAAGAGAATATTGCTTCTTGGTAGGAATTTTCCTATGTCTCTGATGGTGTATTATTGACCTTTGCCCTAAGCAGACTGAGTTGGAATAAGTTGTGCTATGCTTTAAAAAATAAAACAAAAAAAAATGTGAAGATGGGAAAAAAGTTTGTAGTCCATACAGTTTTTAAAATATTTAATTATGTCTGTACAGAGCCCATGGAATGTTCAGAAGAGCTCAGTGACTCCTGTGTGGTGGAGCAGACAGAGAAAGGCTTCCAGTGTGCAGTGGCCGTCCCTAGTCCACTGTTCAAGTAAGTTCATTCAGTTTTGTGTAAATTGATGCTCATAGGAAACATGGCAGAAGGTAGAACTGTGATTCTTCTCTTTCATCTGAGATACCTAATGGCTAATTATGTTTTAGTTTGCCTGTATTCATTGTTCTGGGAGTGAGCGTTACATTATCACCATTCTTTCTGATACAGACTTCTTCATAGTTGTACAAACATCTCTTCTGGAACACTGGATAGTATGCTTTTCCCAGAACCGTCTTTGTAGATAACTTCTAATCTTTGTATAGTAGTCACACTGATAAATCTAATATGTCATTCTAAAATATTTATTTTGCATGTTGAGTATTTTTATAGATATAACAGTATTCTAGAATGCCAGATAATTTGAGATTTCTTCTTATGAAGTAAGCATCTTTCTAATTTTGAGCTTCCTTTAAACTAGATAGCTTAGAAATGTCTTTTTTTTTTTTTTAAGAAAAGGAAAACCCAGATAAGTCTTTTGACAGATTTCTTTCCTGATGTCATTCTTTCCATGGTAGTTAACCTGGAATCATAGGGTTCCCAAAGTGGGTGATAGCGCCCCCTGGGGGGGGGCGCTGGAACTATGGGAGGGGCAGTAGTAGCCTCAGGTGCAATTGAGGGGAGTTGAATAAAAATAAGGGTTAACCTAACCTAACCCCAGAAGGGTGCTGAATATTTTTTTTTGGAAAAGGGGGTGGTAGGCTAAATAAGTTTGGGAACCTCTGACCTAGATGTTCCTTTCTCTTCTTGTCTGTTTAATGACTTTACCTTCTTGTGGTCATAGCTTATTTATATTATTGCGTTACTTCTTAAGGCTTTAGATAGATGCGTATTTCTTGGTAGAGACAAGGACGTTATCAAATCTTTGTTTTGTAAATTCCAAAATGTCCAAACTATTGCCATCTTCTTGTGAACATTGTATATTGCCATGGTTCTGGGGCCCTAAGGCAACATCATTTTTTTTTCCTTCTTTGGTATTTTAGTGCTATATTTCATTATTAACATCAGTAAACCTATATAGAATGCTCATCATATTCAGGACTTTGTGATAGGTGTTGAGAATACAAAGTAGTGTAAGAGTACTTTGCCCTCTTATGTCTCCTAATTTAGATGGGGAACTAGAAGGCATACATAATTAATAACTAACAGTACAAGGTAGCATATCCTAGGAGACAGGTGAGTAGCACAGAATTTTTTGTTTTGTTTTCCTTCAACCTTATCATAATAATAATGGCTAATATTTATGTAGTGCTTATGTGTTAGGCACTGTGCTAAGGACTTTACAATTATTATGTCCTTTGATCCTCCCAACAACCCTGGGAGATAGCTACAGTTATCATTCCCATTTTACAGATGAGGAAACTGAGGCAAACAGAGGTTAAGTGACTTGTCTAGAGTCTCACAGCTAGTACATATCTGAGGCCAGATTTGAATTAAGATCTAACTGACGCCAGGCCCAGCTCTCTATCTACTGTGCCACCTAGCTCCTTATGTTACAAACTAAACCAGTTCTTTCACTGACATTTTATTTTTTTATAATCCTCCATATGCTTTGTGTTTCTTTTTATTCTATTGTTTCATGCAACTTTGTTGTTGATATTTCTCCAGTTTCTGGTATCTGGTACCTGTATTGACTTTCACTAAGAGCGTAGGATTATAAAGGAAAATCCTACCATACCTTACTCAGCTTCCTACAGCACAAATGGAAAAGGAAGATAACTTAGTCAGTGCACAGAGGGGCCTGTGAAGGTGGTAAGGTAGGGGGTAGACCTTCAAGAGCAACAATAGTTGAATCCAGGGTGATAACCCTGCTTTCTCATGTCTTTAAGACTTATCTGAAACCTGTGTATTTCTATTATAGACCTTTTGCCTCTTGTCGATTTTCTTTGCTAATATAGAGTTTAGGATGTTGAGTGAAACAACATTTTGTGACCCTTTTTCTGGCTTAAAACATTTTAGCCACTTATTTTGCAAACATTTGAATTAGTTTCTAGTTACTATTAAATTTTTCTTTATGTTATAGATATATAATTGGGAAAAAAGGTGAGACCAGAAAGAAACTAGAAATGGAAACTCGAACTTCTATTAACATCCCTAAACCTGGAATGGAAGGAGAAATTGGTGAGATTTAGTATGCGTGTGTAATAGTCATTCTCACTTTTGTGTATATGTGAAAATAAAAGTACATCCAGATGAATGTAGCTATATTCTTTTTTGTTGTTTTTAAAAATGAAAGATTTTAAAAAATTAACAGAAATCAATTTTCTCTTTTCCCTCCATCCTCATAGTGGAAAAAAAGAAAAACCAAACCCTTGTAACAGATATTTAATAAGTATATAATAAATGTAGTCAAACAAAACACCGCTTTTCTTTCAAAAGGTGAGTTTCATCATGTTTCATCATAGATCATCTGGATTCCTTGGCAGGTCATTGTGTTGATCAGAGTTCTTAAGGCTTTCAAAATTGTTTTTGTCTTTACAATATTGATGTTATTGTATATAAAGTTATTCTTCTAGGTCTACTTACTTCATTTTGTCAGTTCATACGAGGCTTCCTAGGCTTCTCTGAAATTGTCCCTTTCATCAGTTTTTACAGCACGATAGTATTTCATTACCCCAGTATGCCCTAATTTGTTCAGCCATTTCCCAATTGATTCCTCCTTTAGTTTTCAGTTCTTTTTCACAAGAAAAACTGCTATATTTATTTTTTTCTTTCTTTGATCTTTTTGCGGTCTAGGCCTATTGCTGGGTCAAAGGCTTTGCATAGTTTAGTAATTTTTGGGCACAGTTCAAAATTGTTTTCCAGAATAGCTGTAGCTGTTCACAGCTACACCAATAGTGCATTAATGTGCCTATTTTTCTATAGCTCTTCCAACATTTGTTTTGTTTTGTTTTTAGTCAGCTTTGCTAATACGATGGGTATGAGGTAGAACATCAGAGTCACTTTAATTTGCATTTCTCTATTACTGATTTGGAACTTTCCCCCCTTTTTCTAACATGGCTATTGACAGCTTTGATTTCTCTCTTAGAATACTACCTGTTCATATCTTTTGACTGTTTATCAATTGGGAAATGGCTCTTATTCTTGTAAATTTGAATCAGTTCTTTATATATCTTGGAAGTGAAACCCTTATCAGAAAAACTTGGTGCAAAGATTCCAAACCCCATCCACCCCTCCACAGTTATCTGTTTCTCTTGTAATTTTACATACTTTTTTTTTTTATAAAGCTAGGCAGTGGGGTTAAGTGACTTGCCCAGGGTCACACAGCTAGTAAGTGTTATGTGTCTGAAGCTGGATTTGAACTCAGGTCCTCCTGAATCCAGGGCCAGTGCTGTATCACTGAGCCACTTAGCTGCCCCCCATTCTCTTGTAATTTTAGCTGCATTGGTTTTTGTTTGTGCAAAAACTTTAAAATTTTATGTAATCAAAATTGTCTATTTATCTTCTGTGATTCTCTGTGTCCCCTGTTTGATCATGAACTCCTCTCATATATAGAAAGGAAGGATAATTTCTTCTTTGCTCCTCTGATTTGTTTATGATGTCACTGTTAATGTCTAAGTCACGTATGCTTTTAGAGCTTATACCATGTGAGATATTGGTCTATATCTAGTTTCTATCAGACAGCTTTCTAGGTTTCTTAGCAATTTTTAACCAAGTATTTATTGCCTTGTAGGTCTTACTTCAGGAACTGGTGTTTTTCGGTTGATCGTATATGAGGCTATTGTGTTCATTTGCTTCTTTATATTGTTTATCTTCTCTGTTCACTTCTGTTTCATAGGCAGTACTAAATCATTTGGATAATTACTGCTATGTTTAAGATCTGATACTGGTAGGCCCTCTTCCTTCCCATTTTTTTCCATCATTTTCCTTGATATTCTTGATCTTTTGTTCTTCTAGAGGAATTTTTATTTTTTTTATTCATTGTTTATCTTTTATTTATTAAAATTAAATTTATTAATATATAATATATAAATTAAAATTGATAATATCATTAATATTATTAGCTATAATTAAATTTATTATTTTTTCTAGCTCTACAAAGTAATACTTTGGTAGTTTGAAGTGTCACTGAATTAATTTAGGTAGTGTTGCCATTTTTATTGTATTTACTTGGCTTATCTATGAAGAATTAATATTTTCCCCTTTTTTTATTTGCATGACGTGTTTTGTGGTTGTTTTCGTGTAGTTTTTGTTATCGTAGTATTCCCTGGTATTCTTCCTTCCAAAGGAGTCATCTGATGTAACAAATACTGTATTTTAAAGAAAAAGAAGAAGAAAATCAGCACAACTGATGAATAGATTGAAAAAGTCTGAGAACATGTGCAGTGTGAACACCTTTGAACCTCTTCTTATCTCTAAGAAAGAGTGGATTGGGAGTGTTCTCTCATATCTCTTCTTTTGAGCCAGGTGTTTTTTATAATTTTACAGCATTCACTTTTTTTTTTCCCCAGCATTCACTTTTGAATTCTTTGTATGTATGTATGGTGGTTCTCTCCATTTACGTTGTTGTCATTTTGTATACCGTTTTCTCGGCCATGCTTACTGTACTCTACAACAGTTCATATATGTCTTTCCATACTTCTCTAGCTTTGTCACATTCATCATTTCTTACAGGATAGAAATATTCCTCTAAATCATATACCATAATTTGTTTAGCCATTCCCCATTTGATGGACATCTACTTTGTTTCCAATTCTTTGCTGTCACAGTTAGTGAATTGTAAACATTTATTAAGCATCTGTTATGTGTCAGATACTGCCTAAAGTACTTGGGACATAAAGAGAGGCACAAGACAGTCCCTGCCTTCAAGGAGCTTACTACATGGGAGGGACAATATGCCAACAAATATATACAAAGCAAGCTTTATACAGGATAAATAGAAAAGAATTAATGGAGAGAATTAAGAGGATTTGGGAAAGGCTTCCTGTAAAAGATGAGATTTTACTTGGGACTTATAGGAGGTCAGAGAAGTCTGTGAACAGAGTTTAGGAGGGAGAGCATTCTGGCTATGTGGAACAGCCAGAGATAATGCCCAGAGCTGAAAGATGCAGTGTCTTGTTCATGGAACAACCAGGAGGTCAGTGTTACTGGATTGAAAAGTATGTGTTGGAGACTAAGGTATAGGAAGACTGGAAAGGTAGGAGGAGGCTAGGTTATTCTGGACTTTGAATGTCAAACAGAACATTTTATATTTGCTCCTGGAGGCAGTAGGGAGCCACTGGAGTTTATGGAGTAGGTCAGTCACATGGTTGGAACTGTGCTTTAGGAAAATCACAGTGGCTGAATGGAGGATTTGATTGGAGTGGGGAGAGGTATAAGGCAGACTGACCCACTAGTGGTCTATTGTAATAATTCATGTGTGAGGTGATAAGGAACTGCAGTAGAGTGGTGGATGTGTCAGAAGAGAGAAAGGGGCATATTTGAGAGATTGTGCAAAGGTGAAATCTACAGACCTTGGCAACAGACTGGACATAGAGAGGTGAGGAGTAGTGAGAAGTTCAGATTGAGGACTCCTAGGTTATGAGCCTGGGTGACTGGGATGATGGTGTTCTTGACGGAAGAGGAAATTTAGGAAGAAGGGAGGGCTTGGGGAGAAAGATAGTAAGTTCAGTTTTGTACATGTTGACTTTAAGATGTCTACCACATAGACTGGTTAGTAGATCTGGGACTCATCAGAAGCAACTGATGAGATCATCAACCTGAAAAGTATGGAGAGAGAAGAGAAGAGGGCTCAGGACAGATTCTTGGGGACAACCAAAGCTAGTGGGTATGACCAGAATGAAAATCCAGGAAAGGAGACTGAGGAGTGGTCAGAGAGGTAGGAGAACCAGGAGAGGGCAGCATCACAAAAACCTAGAGAAGAGAGTATCAAGGAAAAGAGGGGGATCAACACCATTAAAAGCTGCAGAGAGGTAAGAAGGATGGATGAGGATTGAGGCCATTAAATGGGCAATTAAGAAATTATTGGTAACTTTGGAGAGAATAGTTTCAGTTGAATGATGAGATCAGAAGTCAAACTACAGAGATGAAAAAAAGAGTGGGAGGAATGGAAGTGAAGGCACCAGTCACAGACCAGCCTTCTTAAGCAGTGTAACCACACTAAGGAGGAGAGACATGGGATTACATAGCTATAGGAGACAGATGGGTTAAGTGAGGCAGATACTGGTGTATTTGTAGGCAGTAGATGAGTAACCATTGGACAAGTCAGTTGCTAGTTCTCTTTTTCCCTCTGGAAATTTTATTTTTTCCTTATTTGCGTAGATGTCACAGTCCTTTCCTCTCCCAGTAGTAGTTTTTCTATTTAAGTTATTCTTGGCTTGCTTTCCGAAATTCTGTATTATGAGCTCTCTTCTTTCCTGTGTTGGCTGCTAAATCGTAGGATCCTGACTGTGGCTCCTCAGTATTTGAATTCTTTCTGACTGCTTGCATTGTTTTTTTCTTTGACTTAGAAGTTCTGGATTTTTGCTATTACATTCTTGGAAATTTTAATTTTGGGTTTTATTATTTTTTTCAGGAGATAACTTGATGGATTTTTTCTGTTTCCACTTTGCCCTCTGTTTCTGAAAGATGATCTTTTAAGATTTCTTGAAGCAGGATGTCTAGGCTCTTTTTTTGTTATGGCTTTCAAGTAGTACAATGATTCTTAAATGTTTTATCCTTGTTCTGTTTCCAGTTGCTTTTGCTATATGATACTTTACATTTTATTCTTTTGGCTTTATTTTAATACTTTGTGTCTCATATGGTTATTATCTTCTCTTTGATCCATTCTAATTTTCTGAGAGTTTGTTGTTCAGGCAAGGTTTTGTACCTTTTGTCCCAAGCTATTTCCTTTCCAATTTTTTCTTCCATAGCTCTCATTTCTTTTCCATTTTTTCCCTTTAATGCACCCATTTCATTTATAAAAAGATTTTGAAACTCATTTCATTTCTTCCAGGAATTCTAGTTGAATTTATTATGCCCAAGCTATGTTTTACTTTGAAGCTTTGCTGGTGGATGTTTTGGAGTCATTCTCTTCTTCTGGGTTTGTGTCTTCAGTGTCCCTTTCACAATAATAGCTTTTTATGATGAGATTCTCTTTTTGTTTGCTTGTTCTTGCAGCCTGCTTCCTGACTTCAGACTTT